GCAGTCCTTCGCACAGAAAACGGAGCTCATCAGGCTGATAAATTGCCGCTAAAGTTTAGGTTTTATGCATTGCTTGCTACCGCGGAAGCGATAAATGTTCTTTATGATACATCTAATCAGTATTTGGTCCAGTGATGTAGGGACCGGGTGCACGTGGAGAACGTGCCGGTGCCCCCCCCCCCTCCCAAATGTTTTTCAAAGTGCCCTTTTTTGTGATGGAAAGTGTCCTTTTGGTACAAGCTAATGTTGCTCTAAATACCATATTAAGATCGAAGGTGCCCTTTTGTGAGAAAATTTGATGTTTTTAAAAAACGTTCGTTGTACGTTGGAATTCAAAAATGAAGAAAATGTATTATATTAAGCATGAAATGCGGTATAATTTTTCTCCCCCCGCCCCGCCCGTCCCCACACTTCCGGGAAATATTTTTAAAAATTATCTGCCTGAAATGGAGACATTTGACAGGTCCAATGAACAATTATGGTCTGGATTGGCTTTGTCCATTGCCTGGAAAGGTGGTTCAGGACATGCTGTGTCGGGAATAGTAATTAATCCGCCACCTCTCTCAAATCTAAAAGTCACATATAACCTCCCATTTCTTTGCTCACAAAATTTTACACACTCCTATCGTAGGACATTCTCTGGCTTCTCTTGAAAACACAGATATTCTGCTTATCTGGATGTCAAGTAAACGTCAGTTCGGTAATAAGTGAAAAATTGTTGCCCGCCACGACCTTGCTACGTGCACAAATAAACAATATGGCGGCGAAACTCGTAAGTTTATAAGCTAGGATTTTCCAAGTTTGTCTTAAAATACTAATAGTTTTTTCAAGCACAACGCGGCCAAGCACCAAACTACACAATTGATATATTTGACATACATTACTATACAACATGATGGTCGAAGTTGAGAACTCAGGTCTACTTTCTGTGAAAGCCGTGGCAACGTTAGGCAATAGAAAGGTTAAGATACCCCGGTTTCGGTGTACCGGTACGAGTAGTGTCATCTTGTTTTACTGATGTCTGTAATTCGATCATACTTTTTCTGTTTTCTTGCAATAGACAATGATATAATGCGACGAAAAATGTGCACCTTAATTACGAGTAAAGGTACAGACATCGACGAAAATATTGCTAACCAAAATCATGCTACCCGTACACGTACAACGAAACCGGGGTATCTTAACCTCTCTAATTGCTCATTATTTTCCCCTCCAGCTACTAACCTCTGAAATTCTACACATCCGGAAACGAGTGCGGTTGATAGTTTTGAAAGATTATTACAGTTATACATATAGAGCCTAAATATAAATGCACCGAATTTTAATTTAGCATGTTTTGTCAAGATTTGCATACATAGTTCTTGTATTAAATTTTATATTTCTCTTGCAAGTCGTCTTGCCTACATCGACTGCTATGGACATGCGAGCATATACTAATGAAATTTGGATGCGCACTATAATTAAATGCAATTATTAGTAAATTTACCTGTTGAAGAACATTTAACACCAGCATCCTCACTGTGACTGCAATCATTACTTCCCCAATCTCTATGTGCACAACTTCTCAAATTTTGTTCAGTCCCTTTACATTGTACCTCATCTAACCAAATCTTTCCAGAACCATCAGGAACGGAGCTCCCTTGGCGAGCTTCAAGAGCATTTAGATAACCAAGTTCACGACATACAACTGCAGCATCATTTATATCCCAATTATCATCACATATTGTTCCCCATTGTCCTTTGTAGAATACTTCCACACGGCCAGTACCATTTTCACTTGATGGGCCTTGTAACCTGACAGATATCGCTGCAAAAAATAAAACCAACAATTTAGTGAATGACATCCAGTTACCGCAAGTTTTCCCTGGGCAAAAAAAGTCAATTTTTTCAATTCTGTCAATATTAATAAGTAAGTGAGTGAGGGAGTGAGGGAGTGAGTGAATGAAAGCCATGTAGTATATTAAAGGACACTGGCAACCAAAATTTTTATTGCTTATATCTATTAGGTATATTACGGAATACTTAATTTTATATTTTGGCCGGTTTGTCGCGTTTAGTTGTTGACCATTGTCTGCCATTTTGAAAATAAACATTTTTGCCACAGCATACATTATCTGACGTCATTATAGCTGGGTAAGCACAATTTCATGACTATAAAACAATACCGACTATTACCACGCGTAGTGCACTTTGAGCCAAAACCAAAAGCAGAAACGTTTTACTAAGTATGTACCTTGTTTGTAACACTATTTCTCATAGTATACATTCTAATCCGTGTTAAATAGACGCAGAAATTCGAGTGTAACAAGGCAATGTTGTTCTCCTCTAAATAATTTAACACCTGCGAGTGCACGCACTTCTCAATAATCTTTGATGCAACTGGTAGAATGGTAATTGCTCTGTAGTTGTCAATATCCTTAGCAGATCCCGATTTATAAATTGGTATAATCTTACCCTTTTTCCAATCAGTTGGAATGATCCCAGTATTCAATGATGTAAATTGATAAAGTTAGTTAAGAGCAAGCTTGTAACCTACCTGACCACGGTGGGAATCGAACCTACGACCTTTGGAATACTAGCCCAATGCTCTGCCAACTGAGCTACGCGGTCAGGTCGGTTCGAGTATGTGATATTTCGGAACAGAATCTATGATGCTTGTGATGTTACTCTGAGTGTATATCCACACCGGGCAAGCTTAACAAATATGCCTGACCACGGTGGGATTCGAACCTACGACCTCGGAAAAATGTATTAGGAATATCAGTAATTGCAGGTGAGAGCACTTTAGGACCCAGTTTGGAAGTTGATCGGAACCGCTAGGTTTGGGATTACACGTAGTAGCCGTTCCACGGTTGTTTATGATTAATTACATGGATCATCATTGTCAGTTGGGAGGTTAAAATCGTCTGCTAGTTATGTTATTTCCTAAACATTCATGTGCAAGGAAATGGTCATTGATTTCAAGAAAGTGAAGCGTCAGTTCGATACAATCACCGTGAACTGCAAAGAACTCGAGCCAGAAGGTTGGAATACATTAAATAATCTGCTTAACAAGAAATCCAAAACCACAGTTGTTAATGAACTTAGCGTAGACCATGGAAAAAATGTAATATTCAACGTAACCTTGACAACCTATTAGCTAATCAGCCAAATACGCTTGTAATACTTACTGGCGACTTTAATCCAACGTCAACCGGATTGAAATCGAAAGATTTGACTCAAACAAATCAACTTAAACAACTTGTCACTTTTAAGACAAGGGATTCTGGTATCCTGGTTTGGTTCCTGACAAATCGGACTAGGTTATTTGAATTGTCTCAGTTACCTAAAATTGCATCCTCCGATCATTTCACAATACTGGCGAAACCACTACTAGGACCTAAGAAGAACAAAGTAACTGAAAAAATTATTTCTCGTGATATGAGGGATAGTGCCTGGCGTGAATTTGGTCGATGGATAACCCAGAAAGATTGGAATCCAGTCCTTAATACTTCCTCCTGTGAAGATAAGTTCCAACTATTCATCACAGACTTAAAGCAAGGTGTCGATTGCTATCTCCCACAAAGGACAGTAAAAGTTCACCAAACAGATCGCCCATGGATGACAAATAAACTCAAGATATGGATCAGAAAACGCCAAACCGCATTCCAAAGACATGGTAAAAACTCGTCCATATATAAACACTGGAGAAATAAAATTCAAAGGGAAATTAAAGCGGCCAAGTCACATTATTATAAATATAAAGTTGCAGAACTGGGACAGATTAACCCCCGGAAATGGTGGAAACAAATAAAAAATCTTATGGGACAAGACATTCAACAGCAGTGGCATTATCAATTTCTTGTTGACAATGGGAATGTTAAGATACTCGCAGATAGAGTCAATGACTTCTTCTTGAGCATAACTGAGAACTTTTCACCGTTATCTCTTCTTTGTCCAACTCAGCATGTCCCAAACGAGTTCCTTGTGTCTGAAGCAGAGGCTTATCGATCTTTGTCATCTCTACAAGTAGCCAAATCTGTTGCACCGGACGAACTCCCAAATAAAGTATTAAAGGAATTTGCTACGGAGCTTTCTCCGGTCATTCAGGATATTTACAATCAGTCCATTAAGGAAGCATATATCCCAGATTTACTTAAATCCTCAATTATATCTCCCATACCGAAAGTAACCCCACCGCAATCAATTGAAAGCGACTTACGTCCAATATTCCTAACATGCAATTTGGCTAAAATTATGGAGGGATTTTTCTGTAGGAGACTTCTATCACAGCTGACAAGAAAAATTGACTCCCGTCAGTTTGCTCGTAAGGGTCACTCCACTACGGATGCACTACTATTTTTGCTTCAACCTGTCTACGAGGCCCTCGATAGCGGAAATGCTTGTGCTCGTTTCTTTTTTGCCGACTTTAGCAAAGGGTTCGACCGCATTGACCACCATATTCTCATTAAGGAGCTGATGGAATTGGATATTCATCCTGTTTTATGCAATTGGATTAACGCTTTTCTTTTTAACAGAAAACAAGCTGTCGGAATAGGGGGGACTTTGTCAGACTGGAAATCCCCAAATGGTGGTATACCTCAGGAAACTAAACTTGGTGTTATTTTTTTCTCGGTTATGACAAATAAGCTAATATCTGACTGGCATTTCAGGACAAAGTTTGTTGATGACACAGCTGCGCTAGAGATCATTCCCAGGTACTCAATTAGTTATCTGAACCATACGGTAGATGAATTACATCAATTCTCTGTAAATCATAACATGAGTCTCAACCCACTTAAATGCAAGGAGATGGTAATTAGTTTCATGAAAAATTACAACACCATAATGAGGCCTTTTGTAATAGGCAGCAACGTAGTAGAAGGGGTAACTAATTTGAATTACTTGGAGTTCAATTGAGTTAGGATCTCAAGTGGAATAAACATGTTGATTATATCTACAAAAAAGCTTGTAAGATGCTATATTCCCTCCGCCTACTTCGTAGAGCTGGCGTTGAGCAAAGGAATATACTAAAAGTGTATCTAACTACTATCAGACCCGTATTGGAATATGCTGTTCCAATATGGCAAGCGATTCCTGACTATTTAAGTGAAAGGATAGAATCAATACAGACAAGGGCACTTCGAATCATCTTCCCTTCCATAGACAATTATAATCAGGCGATGATGATGGCACATATACCAACATTGGAGAGCAGACGCGCACTGTTATGTAAAACATATATGACTAAAATGAAGAAAGAGGATCATCCCCTGCATTTTATGCTCCCAGAACATAAGATGAGCGAATGCAGGTATAGCCTACGAAATGGGCAAGAAAATACTATTTTTTTTAAGAACACAACCAAATGCAGAACTTTAAGATCTGAACAATTTTTTACCTTTAAATATTTTTAATGTTTATACATAGTTTTAACAGTTGTATGTATTCATGTAAATATAGTTTTAGTAATACATTGGACTCGTTAATTCAGTGTAAATATACTGCAAGAGAGTTTCAATAAACATCAATTATTATTTAATTATAATTATCAATTATTATTAAGATACAGTCGACGAGTTTAATAAATTTTTCACTTCTATAGGTCCCAAATTAGCAAATAACATTGCTGACAATGGCAGTAGTCCTGATCCTTTGTCATACATAGATCAAGTCACAAATATATTTCACTTTCATAGCATATCATGTTATGTTATGAGCTGAAAGGAGAAATACAAAATATGCAAATGGCAAAATCTACGGGCCTAGATAAGATCTCAACTAAGCTAATAAAACAGGCAGCGATTCTTCTACTTTACTAAAATTATAGTCGTGTAGTGACCAATTGCCAGAAAATGTAAATTAATTAACTCCAAAATCGCAGTGAAAATGCCTTCTTCCTCAAAAGCCCCAAGCCAATCTTAAATATTTCCGGATATATGCCTTCGCTTCACTTCCTTAGAACCATAACACGTTTTTGACCTATTGGAGAGTGACCTTGCATGCGGATAATTTGGATTTGAATGCGAATAATTTCAAAACTAAGCGATGAAACGCAAATCCCAGCGGCAAGATTTTCGAAAATTTTATATTTTGTGGGATTTCATTGAAATAAGTCCAAAAAATTAAAAAAACAGCGGAAGGTCTAAACCGGAAGTAGTAAAAATGTACGCGTTCTGATTGACTTAGCGCCAAAAGGTAAACAAATACTCTGATTGGTCGAGAACAATATTCGCCCTTGTTATATATGTGTGTGTTAATTTGTGTACATTTATGTTTTGCGTGTGCTATACAGTCTATGGTCTATGGTCTATGGTCTATAGACGTAAATGTATGTACCATATATCAAATAATTCCGTGGTACTTGTACAAGCTCATTGTGCAGTTACAATACATGTCCGTAATTGATAAACGCCATAATTGACGTTGAAAAAAAAATTATTTATATTGCAAGAAAATTACCTGTTGAAGAACACTCGACTCCAGCATCCTCGTGATGACCGCAATTATGCTTTCCCCATCCAATATGAGAACAACTTGTCAAACTTTTCTCACTTCCAGTACAGGCGACGTTGTCTAACCATATTTGCCCGGAACCACGAGGAGCATGACCTCCTTGAAGAGCTCTAATTGTATATTTATATCCAAGTTGACGACATACTACTTTAGCATCATTTATATCCCAATTATCATCACAGATTGTTCCCCATTGCCCTCTGAAAAATATTTCCACACGGCCAGTACCATTTGCACTCGATGGCCCTTGTAACCTGAGAGATATCTCTGTAAAAATTGAAAGAACAACTGAGTGAATACTTGTCGGATATCTTTTTCTGAAATGTTTTCTCTGGGCGAAAGCCTATTTTAAAATCGTGTCTAATTATGGACGACTAGTCGTATACGATCAAAACCTCTACCCAATAAGAAACGATGGTTTACTATTATCGTCATCGTCAACATTAATTATAAATATCCCAAATTTATGTGATATGAGTCGGTCTTTTAACTTTATTGTATCCACATTTAACTCGACATACATAAATTTCACGCTAAGGGACCGGTCATTATTTATGGTGGGGGTGGCACCGAAGAGAAATGTTTTTCGTGGCAAAAAATTTGCTGACCCGACCATTAAAAAGTAAAAAATTTGATTACCCAACCTCAAATATCAATTAAAAAATAAATACCCACCCCTGGCCAAAAACTTTACAAAAAGGTACCACTCAGTTGTCACACATGTCCCTTGCCACCTCTGTGACATGAGTTTGATAACGGATTGTGAATTTTTTTGCAGACTAAAGTTTCATGTTGTCTGCACATGTAGTTTCTTTGGAGACACCATTTGTCTCCCAACAAATTGAAAACCAGTGATCAAGATAATGACTCCGATTGATTCACATATTGTATTGACATATGACTGTTGACATTGCTTTTTAGTCTCCAATATTTCAGTGAGTCATGCTTTGGAAATTATTATTACCCAACCCTTGAGTTGTTTTGTTTTTCTTTTACCCAACTTTTTACTCACTCAAAATTTTGTTTACCCAACCCTTTTCTCTTCGGTGCCACCCCCCACCATAAATAATGACCGGTCCCTAAACTTCTCAGAGGCGTACCGGTTGTATGAGTGGCGGCGGCGGAAGTGGGTGGCAATATATCCCCCATTGAAAAGGCTGAATCCTGACGAACAGTATAGGCGCAAGGCAAGTTGACCGTCAGCACTCCATACTTGCAATCCCCTATTGGGAGTAATTTTAGCCCATTCTTGTGGAGGCCAGTCAATCTCTTGAGTTATAGGGACGAGGTGTAAGAACTACGAAGCGACCAAAACTAGTCCCGTTAGGCCCCAGTTACACAATACCGGATTCGCATCAGAGCGACATCAAATTTTACTGCTTCGAGGTGAATTTGGCTCTTAAAATTATGATAATATAATATAATTAAACAAAAACTTTACATATGAAAAGTTGTAATAGCAGACAAGACTGGAAAACGCTTTATATTGATGTCGCTCTGATACGAATCCGGTATCGTGCAACTGGGGCCTTAGTTAACATCCGGTATCGTGTAACTGGGGCCTTAGTAACTCAGTTACGAACGTATAGCCTCATTAAAACGATGTATTCGTCGAAACGCATAGAAACTGGGCTGCTCATATAAAATTGGTAGAGAAAGCACGTCATGAATTTCCGTCTGATGTTAAACGAATATTATAAATAACATACCGTTCCATGCACAAATTAACGAGCTAATCTCACAACCTCGCAAGCCAGGCTCTCTACTTCCGCTTCCCTCCCTAACACGCTCCAGCAGAGACCCTGGTTCAGGCTGGTCACGTGACATTCTGGTGTGTTTTTTATTAATTAGCAACATGTATGTTACTTAGGGAGGAGTGGCTGAGTAAATCATTGTTCACAGTTCACAGTAAATGCATTCTGAACGGATCGTATAAATGCAATATACTCTTTTTTATTGGAAAAGCCAAACCGCCAAAGATACTCCAAAACAAAGGCAATAAATCAGGCGATTGCCGTATGTGAACCACTGACTCTGTGCCACTGATCAGTGATGCGAAACGATTCAGTTCCTCGCGGCCGGTTCTTCGCAGAAAACATTTTGAAGACATCTACATAGTTCTGTATTTCAAGCCTAAGATGGCTAAGAACACTCAGAATTCAATTTCTTTTACAATTAGAGGACTACAATTACAATTACAATTAGACTGGAAATAAAACTGCGACTGTCTTTGTGTTCGGCTAGATAGACAATCGGGTAACGGCAACGCTTGTTTATAATTCCCTGTTCTTCAAAATGACCCACCGATTCGATGGACACAGAGCCAAAGGTAACTACAACTTATAGCCTGCTAACAGAATTATGTAAAAGAAGTATTAATTCATGTAGATACAATTCCAAGGCTTTGCAAGCCTTTGTTGTATCCTATGGCTATGTTGTTTTGTACTAAATCGGCAGGGCCGCCGAGAGGGCGAGCAGGGGGGGGGGGCAAATTGACCCGGACTCCCAGGTTCTGGGGACCCCTAGAAATTTTTTGTTGGGCCCCAGTCGTTTTTTTGCGTGCAATATGTCCCCCCTAAGGGCAAGATATTTGTTTGTTTGGGCAAAGTACCGAAATTTGGTATGAAAAATTGAGGTAAAGTCGCTGGAAAGTACAACGTACTCTTCCGGGAAATTTTTCCCCTAAAAAGTTGTCGACGGGTGGGGGGGGAGTTGTTTTTTTCCGAAAAAAATTTTGAAATTGGGGCCCCTAAAAAAATTGCCCCGGGCCCCCGCCAAGCTCTCGGCGGCCCTGACTAAATGTACTTTTCGACTCGCAATTTTATAAACAAGCGTCAGCCAAATCTGTTTCCAAACAATATGTTCTATACTCATACTAAACGTATATAAAGGCTATTAACTTTGACCATCACGAATGTAAATGATCAGTAAAGTATTGTATAGTAAAATATAATATGATTAATTTGCTTTGGCAAAGATATGGAAAATATTAATAGCTGTATATGCTCGTTTCCCCTGTTTACTCAGCTGTATGTCACTGTCAGCATAGACAATCCAGAAGACATGTCTTCTGGATTGTCTATGACTATGCTGTCAGTTACGATATTGTTTTGCTACACCTTCTTTATATCATCAGATTTCAGCTGCTGTTCACTTTAATACACAGAGCCAGAGATATAAAGTGTCGTACCATTTAACTCATTAGAATGATTAAAACGTTTTATAACTTTTTTCACTATTCCACTTTTATGTCCGAGCTGTTTGTATTTCGATGTCCACTTCACATTTCACACTTAATGTATCGCGAAACGTACTGCGCGTACTCTACAGGATTTGTATATGATTGCGAACCTGTGACTGTACGTGTTTAAAAACAAAGCCTGATTCCACGAGCGCTTTTTCTTGGCGAAATGCGAAATATTTCACCTGTTTCTTTTGAATTGCGACCACTCGAATAAATTATTTCTACTTGATTGCCCACAATTCAAAAGAAACAGGCGAAATATTTCGCATTTCGCCGGAGAAAATGCGCCCGTGGAATCAGGCCTTTAGGGAGGGAAGCGGAAATTTTTCTCGTCTGGTATTACACACCTTATACGCATGGACAATACAATTATAAGTTGTTCGAAATCCATTGTCACAAATGTTCACATTGTTGTAATTCGTTGAAAAAATGCGGACCATTAAACTCAGAAAGTTAGGACACAAAACTCCAGCAATACCCAACTTGGGCACCAGTTATTGCAAGGAATAATAATGTATAGAAATGCTGAAGTGACAGATACAGCGGTTAACAATTAATGCATGGTTTGCTTCGCTATTTATGGTGAGATACCGAACAGTAATAAAAACTGCAGAGCGTTTGCAGTCTCATGTAACTCGTTAATCGTGACTACGGTTGAAAGGTATCAAGGCGTTATTAAAGTACTTACATTTACTATTTGCGTAAATACAAGGATGAAAAGTAAATTTGCATCGCTATTCAGAAATTTTGAGAATATCAAAAAGTACGTACATGCATGCCTAACACCAAAAAATACCACATCCCAAAGAGGTGAGGGTAATGGTATCCTATTTCATAGTGCCCTATAGCTACTCTTTGCTCAGCTAGAACAAGAAATGGAGTAAATGGTGCTCAGCCTACTCATTCCAACCTGTTATATTTCGACGTTTCAAGAAAAGGCCCTTCGTCTGGAGTTACTATAGCCAAACTTTGAGTTTGGAATTAAATTGAATTCAGTTCTTTCATGAAAATAACTTTGTTCCCATATTTATTTAAAGATTTTTCATAATCTAAAACAATAAAAATGCATGGGTAACTTGTAAAAATACATTGACTAGACGCTGGTTGCTTTCAAAAACCGAAAATCGTTTTTTTAAAGGAAGCCGTAATATTAACAACCATTTACCCTCTTTCCCTTTATCTTTTGTTATAAAGCAAAAACAAATAAAGAAACTGTTTGACCACTTGTCCTCCCGTATATATAGGTTTTCCATGCACTCGTCCCATATATACGATGGATTTCTGATTGATGTTTTTTGTCCAATTCCCATTGTGCTCTTAATAATATGCGAAGATTGAATGTATGAAAATAACCAATATTAATGTAATAAAATTAATTCTAATAAATGAATGCATTACACTACTGGATGGCTATAAATACCAAGTGTGGCCATAGTTTTAACGGCTTGTGCGGAGGAGAACGGCCCACCCAGACTTCCCGCCCCTTCATTTGTGTTGGTCGAACTCCGCCGCACACCGTGTCAGCCATGCTGTTCCAGTCTGCCCGAGACTGGGCTGAGCCCATTTACTCCATTCCTTATTCTAGCTGAGCAAAGAAATAGGATACTATGTATAATTGGCGCAACAGAAATTTTTTTAAATTGCCAAAATAATTAAATATTCTAAATCAAATCATTTTATGAAATAAAATTTGGGGTTACGATGTCGTTTACGAGTTAAATTACTTAAAAGCAAAAACATCCGCAACTATTGAATCGTTATTGTTGTCATAGAAACGGCAGTGGCGTAGCTTTGGGGAAAAATTCAAACCCTTTAGATGTTGTTTTACATCAATAAGATATCTTTTGTTTGGGGTCGGCTATTTTGCGAGCTGCGAGTTGCGAGTTGCGAGTTGCGAGTTGCGAGTTGCGAGTTGCGAACTGCGAGTTGCGAGTCGCTAGCCTCGCATTGAATTAGGCTTTGAAAGTATATTAATATGGACGACATGGAAGGCGAAGGGTTTTTCATCGAAGGGTTTTTTGTT